CTGCTGACAGCAATTTCTGCTGGCATATTTTATATGCGAAGTTCTCTGAAAGAAAACTAGATTCTAACTTTCCAGTGAGAACCACACAAGGATCTTTCAAGATTTTTTATTTTAGGGTTAGGGCTTCACAAAACCCCCACATTGTTCTAGAGGTTTTTCTTTCTCCTGGCAGAAGACAAGCAGGAAGAGGGAAGTCAATTGCTTCCAAGTACCATCCCAGTAATGGCCATCAAAGCTTTGGAAGTGAAGAAGAGAAGAACAGAAGAGATTGGATTTATCCCCCGCCCTTCACTCGGAGTCTCAGAACGGCTTATAAACTCCTTTCCCTTCCCCTCCCCACAACAGGCACCCTGTGAGGTAGGCGGGGCTGAGAGAGCTTTGAGAGAACTGCCCTTGAGAGAACAGCTCTGTCAGAACTATGGCTTGCCCAAGGTCATCCAGCAGCTGTGAGCGAAGGAGTGGGGAATCAAACCCGGTTCTCCCAGATTAGAGTCCGCACTCCTAACCACTACACCGAACTGGCTCTCCAGGCCAGAGACAATTAAACAGTCAGCTCACACCCTCCTAAAAGCAACAAAGTGACTTGGTGTGCAAGGGGCTAGACCATACCTTCCCAGAGATTTCACAAAAGGATTCTTTGACCCACATGGGGGTAGGAAGAGAACGGAGATAACATCCCTTGGCACAGAGGAACCAGGTGTCTATTCTGACAGGGCAGTTTTGGCTGATTACATCTGGAGGAAGGAGCTCCATCCTGATAGCTGCCATGGCCGTGTGGAGCAGAGACAGAGCTGGCTCCCTGGACAAAGACTAAGGTAAGGGAAAGTTTCTGGCACACTGTAACTTACGAGCTGAAGAGCCTGCCTTAGAACAAGATCAGCTAGGGCATGTACAGAGTGAGTGACAGGAGGGACTATATGGCTGCACCTTTCTTTTGTATTTCTTGCTCAACGCACTGCTGCGCAGAGATTATGTGCACAGACTTCTTGCTTTCAATAAATTCTTTACTAGTTTAAAACACTGGCAGTGGCTCACCGTACCATTTGGACTGCCACCATTCAAACACACTATTCAAAACAGGCGCCAGGGGAAGGGAGGCAGCCACTTGCTAAGTCACTATTTTCCTAGGAGGGCACAAGTGCGGTAAGCTGTGCCCATAGTAACCAGTCTCTGGGTAGTAGAAGACACAGGCACTCGGGTGGAAGCACTTGCCCTCTTGGCAGGTAATCCCTAAAACAACAAGTTGGTGGAAATGTACCAACGGAGACCATAAACCTGACCATGGTGGATCAAGCCAATGGCCCCTCCAGTCCAACACTCTGGGTCATACAGTGGTCGAAACCCCAGTGCCCTCAGGAGGTCCACCAGCAGGGCCAAAACTCCAGAAGCCCTCCCACTTTTGCCCCCCCCCCAAGCACCAAGAATACGGAGCATCGCAGCTCCAAGTGAAAAAGAAACCCCTCTCAGAGTCTGGCAAGCTAGGAGAGCAGTGTGTTGCTAGACGGAGACTTGATATGGTTGCCGGGCACCTAGACAGGCCAGTAAGACTCTCACAGGTGAGCAGGGTCATTCCACTACAGGAACCAGCTACCTTACCCTGTGAGAGCCAACATTCTCAGTGGTATTTAGCAATGGGAAGGATTTTGTTTCTCCCTGTGGAATAGCAGTGCGAGGATAAGGCAAGTGAAACTGTCAAAGGCACTTGTGTGTGGTCTCAAGCTCACAGCTCGCATCAAGCCACACTCACCGACCTCTCAGCTTGCATGACACCCATGCATGACACACAGATACTTCAATGAGGAAGACCAAAAAAAAAAACTTACCCTGTGTTTGGTGAGAAGGTCGTGTCAAATGTCAACTTCAAACCTTTGGCAATCTGATTTAGGGAGGGAAAAGTAGTTAATTAAGAGCACCAAATGCTTTCCTTAACTGCAGATTGACTAAAAACCCATTTACCTGATCTTCGATGGCCATTTCTGTTCCCAGAGTGTTATCTGTGTTCCATTTTTCTGTAAAAGTCACACCGTATTCAGTCCACTTGTATTTGGTCTCCAAACTCCCATTCACTTTCCCCGTGTCTGTGTTTGATGAGCCAGCTGTTGCGAACTCCTAACAAAGACAACACAGTCCAGGTTATTTCTGAGTTTGGCAAACCAAAGAGCCAGAATCGCCAGGCATCCAGTAAAAGTAGCGTCTTCTGAAATGACCAGATTACAACTCAGTGCAATTCATCACACATCACTAGCCCACTTACTGCCCTTTTTAGAAAAACTGCTTATATATAAGGACAGCATTTGTTTCAAGAGCCCACAGATACACCCCTGAAGACAGGGCAGAAATTGCACCAGGATGCTGAATGATAACAATAGAGGGCTACTTTATACATCATGTTTCTTGAAACTGAAAATATCGTGGGAAAATGCATAATTCAGAGCCAGCGAGCACTCGTAGCAATGCTGTCAAATGCAGCCTTTTGCAAACATGGATTTACTGGCAGGCAACGCATGGAGTGGCCCTTAGTGCAGCAGCATCTCAAACTTTTCACATGCCCCAACACTCACTTGTATCGGTCATCAAAGGACAGGCAGGAAAACGGCTAAGGCAGCAGCCGCTTCCTCAATTGAGATTTAGCTTTGCACGTGATCATGAGACTGCCAGAAAGCAGCTTCCCATTTGTCAGCTAGCTGCCAAATGTTTTCTGTTTTCCCTTTCTTGCGCATTCCTCTCCTTGCGCTTAATTGCCTTGCTGCCGCAACGCATATCTTTCAAGGCTGCTGGAGGAGTCGCTGGAGAAGTTGCTTTGGCTTTCCCTGGGAATAGTCGTGGGAAGCTTTACCTGTTATAACCATTTGTTCTCAGGCCTAATGGCGCGCGGGGGAACCCCCGTAATTGGGTCTGGCTGATTTGAATGTACTATAACCCATCATGCTCTTAGATTACTCGTCATTCCTAACAGTGTTCCTGTTCATGCATCTAAAGCTTCAAAAAAAGTAAAACCTTCCTGCAAGTGTGTACTTCGTTGTTGCTGTGGGTCCTGACACCATTGCAGTCAGATTGGAGCCCCACTCCCTAGCAGAAAGGCGTGTATGTGGGGAGGGGGGTTCCATCCCTCCAACCAAAGCCACAAGCTTTGCCAGTGTTTTAATACCCCACTGCCAGTACCTACCACTCCACTTGCAGATTTCGTTTTCACATCCAACTTCACAAGGCCAAAACCTTGACAGAAAGAACTGAAGTTAATAAAGCACACTTTTTAACACAACACATCTTACAAACGGGGACCTGTACACAGCCCTTCAGGGGGTGGTCTAAAATCTGGAGGGCCTTGGGGAGAATGACAGGAGCCCCTTCATCCAACTTGCAATGGCTTCTGAGAGCAAATCAAGGAGAGCCGTTCAATACGCTGCGCCCCACATCCAGGAGGAAAAGCCCAGCTTTCTCCTGCAGCTCTTAAAGTGGCACACAGCAAACAGGAATCAACATAATAAAGGTGTTCTGCCTGCTTTCACGTCACGTTTTACTTGTTATGAGCTTGTTCACCACATCACAGCCTCCTTGGGGCTGCTCCTGGTTGACCCCTCTTTTCTTGCTGCCTGGCCACAGCGCAAGTCCCACTTTTCAAGGAGAGGTGGGTGTGACAGTTCCAGCATTATGAAATGCCCTCCCCATGATGTCCATCATCCCTAGGAAATGTTTAGCAATTCTTTTGGGGCAGGCGTTTCACAGCAACAGTATCATTTAAGGAAAAGCTGTAAAACTGTTTTGCTTGTCTATATTTTTTTTAATTTTAACTGGATTATTTACGGGTCCAGCCAATCACGACACAGCTTTAAAAGAGCTTTTTTAAAAATATATATATATAGTAGTCATACAGATTATACCATTGAAGAAGCCACAGAACTGTGAATGCAGTCAATTACTCTAATAGTGACTGGAGGAAACCCTAGTTCACCCTTTCTCCACTCGGCTTCCGCCTTTGCTCCCAGGACACAGGAGAAACAAATTTTAAATTTGAACCTGGAAGGAGGAGACAGAGACCAGTCCCACCAAAATCCACACTGCATCCAATAGGATCAAAAGGATTTATGGGGAAGGCCACGATGCAATGCTTTCTGGCATGTTGTGGACCCCCTCCCCGGAAACGGGTCATGGCCTCCCCTTGCTTAGATGCTGGGCTGGGGGAGAGGACACCTAGTTCAGGCACTCCTTGGCTCTGACAGATGTCGATCCAGCAAGGCAAAGTTCCCACCACTACGTCTCCCCAGCAGCAGAAACCTTCAGAAGCCATTCCAGCCTCTGCAATCCATTTCTGAGTAGCAGTGGAACAGAGGGAAATCATTCCACGCTCTGGCAGAACTCAGCCAAGCGCAACCCAGAAGTTCCGCCCAACCCTCCATGGAAACTATTCACTCACAAACCGCTCACAGGAGTTCACATGGACTGTTTGGGAGCAGATGATTTTTACGAAAGCAGTAGTTGCCAGATGCCCAGCTCAGAAACTGGCAAAGTAACCTCATTAGTTACAGCACGGGCTCTCTCATTTTTCCCTAGCAAGGCCCCTTTTACTTTTTCAAGAGAAAAGAAAATAAGTATCTTTAGCCTTGAAGCACAAAGCGGCACACACAGCAACCAAAGAACAGATGTTTTAAGCTCAACAACAACCCCCCTCCCGCACAGCAACTTTCTGGGAACCCTCAACCCGAACAGGAGCAGACGGGGGACCTTTGCAGGTAGTCTTATACGCAGACAGCCTGCTACTGCACGAATGAAGCTGCAGACTGGAGAAGTAGGCACTAAATGAGGACCAGTGCAGGATCTCTGCCCCCCTCCCCTTAAGCCACAGACGGAGACTCAAAAGAATCTCCCTTCTCTCAGAACTGTAACTGGAGCATAAAATTGGCTTGTTCAGAGTCAGCACAACAAATTAAGAACATATATTTGAGAAGCGTCACTCATACCAAATCCTTTGTTGAAGACATCTCTGGCAGATTTGCCGAGGTCCACGTAGGCTGGCGGGATAGCCATGGGAGCTAAGAAGACACAGGAAAAGGAATGTTAATACTGCAGTGGGAAAAAAATTTTTAAAGCCAGTATTACTTCTAAAGGTGCTGCGTTTCCTAAATTCGTACAGAGGAAGATCAGGCACAAACCACTCATGTGCTATAATTTTTAATCAGAATTTTATTCTAAAGTTTATTCTAAAGTTGCATCTAAAGAGATGCAACAAAATAGACTCTGAAATCAAATACTGTATACTGTATTCTCCCAGTCTGCTGCTGGCAGAAGATCTACCTAAATCAAAGAAAGGCGTCCAACTTTGCTGAGTAAAAACACAGGCTGCAGCCAATGGGAGAGCTGGGACAGGGACATGGGGCGGAGTGAGCGACAGTTTCCAGCTGTTCCTAGAGCTGCTGACATCGCTTCCAGGTTACCCCCTCCCCCAAAGTGACATAATCACACTCGCAACACGGGTGATCTTTTCCTTCAACAGGAACTTAGGGCAGGGCGTTCCCCACCCTGGCCAGAGGCCTGGCAGCCCTAATACAGGCCGGTATTTCTAATTACCAAGAATGGCAAATGGCAGAAGACCATGCCATTCAGGCCGACACGTCTGGATAAATGCAGCATGTGCTCTTCCAATGCATCTTCCTCTAAAAACAAACATACACGAACCATCCACCCGTGCCACCTAAATATGATTTTATACAAGTATGTAGGAACAGACGATTCGTTCAGCTTACAAGTTCACCCCCAAACAGAAACATTTAAATTATTGCATAAAGGTCATTCAAGCAGCGTTTGATAGGTTAATACAGAACTCCCCTCCCACTGCTCCAGACACTAAATCCCTGCAAAGCAGATGTTCACATTGGACAAGGCCGTGAGCCAGTTCCCCACTGGCTTTCAGCAATAGCTGCAAATCTATTGCGTGGATCAAGTAAAATCCAATATCCTCTAGGTTTACTATACTCTGCTACCTCAAAAGAGAAGCATTTCATTTGGTGACACAGCCTAGCTCCTAAACACTGCCAACATACCAAACGGACTGCAGAACGTGGAGCGCCCTCGTGACAACGGAGGAAGGGGGCAAAGCAAGTGTAGCACTAAGAGCTCTAGGAAAAGCACCATGGATTAAATTGCCTGAGAGATTAATTCGTAAATTATACAGCTACTCCTGTGAACTGCAGCTAAGTAGGGATGTTCCACAACCAGTATTGATTAGTCAACAGTTTAAAAGTCTTGATATGTGGATAACAGAAAAGGACAGCAGGAAACGTTTTTTTAAAAAAATACCTTCCATCTCCCAGTGCTTTTGGCTATCACACTGTATTTGTACTCTCTACAGTCAAAAAAGCTGAAAACTGTTATAAAAAGCTGATTTGCCCAAAATTACAAGTAAGCTCTCTCAATACTACAAAGTTGGCACGAGACTGCAGGGGGAAAACACTGAAAACTGCTGAAATTATGCATGTTTCCTAAACTGCATATTTCAAGCCTTTCATCTACGAACCAGCCTCTTTCATACTGGTTAACAGTTGCACTTGCATTCAAACAGACACGCTCAGAATCCAAATGGAATGTCATTCGGGAAATTTTAGAAGTTACAGAGGGGAATGAGGATCACCAGCTTTTTCTCCAATGGACTCCAACTAAGCATAACAGAGCTGGAGGGGGTGCTTTTGCACTGAATACTCTGTAAGGCACATGTTAATACAAAGTTTTACAGACACGTTTTACCACTTATACAACAAACTGCCACATCTGAAACAACTATTGTTTATAAGAAAGCTCTCAAAAAGTTTTAGCCAGAGATAGGATTAGTTTCATTTGCTTTTCAGCAAATTTATACCCTGCCCTTCACTACCTGAAGGAGTCTCAGAGCAGTTTACAATCTCCTTTCCCTTCCCCTCCCCACAACAGGCACTCTGTGAGGTAGGTGGGGCTGAGAGAGCTCTCTCGAGATCTGCCCTTGAGAGAACAGCTCTGAGAGAACTTGTGACTGACCCAAGGTCATACCAGCAGCTGCATGTGAAGGAGCAGAGAATCAAACCTGGTTCTCCCAGATTACAGTCCGCGCTCCTAACCATTACACCAAACTGGCTCTCAAGCGGAACAAGAGGGATTTTTACTACTGGTGTATCCACTGGAATTTCAACTCTTCTGCACTGCTCACCTCACCACAAATGCCTCAAACCCCATCTGCAATGCTGGGCACAGAAATGCTAAAACGCAACCTCTCGATTTGCAAAGGAAACCCTCACAGCAGGCTGAGCGCTTTTCTCACTCTGTCTGACCCAATGCAGATACCTGGCAAAAAGAGGCCCCAGATTTGCTCTGCAGTCTGTAGGTTGAGTAGCATCCTCAACTCAACAGAGTAGTCGTTAAAAGAAAGAAGCCCAGCCACTGTATTCATCATTGGGCAGAATTTGTGCCATGTTACTTTGCATTGTGACTTAAAAATGTCTGTATATTTCCTGCATCAGATATGGTCATGCTGACCAGTGCTGAAGTTCCTAGTTTTATCAACTGGGTCAGCAAGTACACTGGAGGAGGCAATGACAGCTCCCCATCCTACTCAGAGGACATCAGCAACTGGAGGCCAAAGACAGCAGAATGTGGTCCCTGGCAGGCCCCAATCTTCACACACACACACACACATCTTAGCAGAGGGAGTAGCAACGGGGCTCACTGGCAGGTCCCTGTGGAAGACAGATGTGGCACTGTCCAACCACCCCTTCACCCAATTCTCCAATCAGTCAGCCCACAAAAGTTGCTGCTATGCACGGCTGTACAAAAACAGTCCCCCCCTCCCAATCCAATTGAAAAGAGAGAAGAGATTGGATTTATACCCCGCCCTTGACTACCCAAAGGAGTCTCAGAGTGGTTTACAATCCCTTTCCCTTCCCCTCCCCACAACAGACACCTTGTAAGGTAGAGAGAGAGAGCTCTCCAGAGAACTGTCCTTAAGAGAACTTGTGACTGACCCAAGGTCACACCAGTAGCTGCGTGTGGAGGAGTGGGGAATCAAACCCGGTTCACCCAGACTAGCGCTCCTAACCACTACACCAAAAGGGGTTTCAAACCATCCTAAATACCACTCTTCTGCTTCAAAAAATGTATGCATGCTGTATTTCCCAGGAAAAATTGGAACAAGGTGTCATGCCCTGAGGACAGCTACTTTGCAGAAGTCCCACTGAAACCAGTAGAAACACCTTCCAACTCCATGTGTTCCGTAGAAAGACAACAGATGTGTCTCAATTATTTTATTAAAGAACAGAGAAGGAAATGGCTCCACCTCCAAATCAGCTATATACCAAATACTAAAAAAAAAAAAAAGGTCAGGAGAGTGGGGGGGGGGGCTCTTCTTGATGAACCTAAAGTATAACCTCGCTACAGCAGACACGTACACGGCAGTTAATTGAACTACGAGCTTAAAAGATTTCAAGGATTACACCACACCTTTCCCTTAAGTTATTCTTTCGTGCTCCTCCACACCCTTATCTTAAAGCACCCCTAAGGAATTCTTCGAAGGTTAAATATCTACAATTCCATCACAGTAAGCGGTTCGTGTATAAAAGACTGCATTTAAAGGATACATAAAGATTTGAGTGTGCAACAGCTGAATATTTATTCTAAATAGTTATTATTGTCAAAGATGGACACTCTTGTCTGACTACAGATGATCCACTGTGTTAGATATTAATCTCTGTTAAAACTTCGTTACTGCAACTTAACTTGTTAGTTGTTACTTTAAAATCCTTCCTTCAACTCTCCCTACTTACGTCTTGGTGGGCGTTCACATGCTGGATTAAAAGACATGGCTATCTAGTCCAATTTAGAGGATCTATAAAACGGGGGGAAATGCACAAAAAATACGTAAAATGCACAAATTTGGAACTGAAGATTAACAATCGATTTAGGGAGTTAGGCAATTTCAAGAGCATCTTTTTAGATTCTGCACTCGCAAACACAGAACGTATCTGAACAAAGTCTGAATCCAGGGGCACCCTTAAACCCAACAAAGTTTAATTCTGGGTAATACCCAGAATTAAACTTCTGGGTAATACCCAGAATTAAACTTGGTGGCATGCACACGAAATCTTATACCCAGGATTTAACTTGGTTGGTCACCAAGGTGCCCCACTGGACTCAGACTGGGTTCTGCTGCTTCAGACCAACATGGCGACCCACCTGAAGATTCCCTGTGCGTTTTGTTCACCAGGGGCAGGGCCATCACCCCAGATGCAAGGGGCAGTTGGGCACCTGGGGGGGGGGCATTCTTTGGCAGCTGCTGCCAAGGCGACCATAGAGGAGAGCTAGGGCCGCCTGACCCCCCACCATCCCGCCGTGCTGCAGCCACCACATGCCAAAAACAGCAGCAGCAGGCCCGCCTCCCCCCACCAGAGGGGAGAGGCGGATGGGGGGGGGATGGGTTAGGGTTGCCACTCTGCCAAGGCAGACCCTGGTCACGGCCAGCAAGAAGAGAAGAAGATTTATGCCCCCCCCCCTTCACTACCCAAAGGTGTCTCAGAGAGGCTTACCAACTCCTTTTCCTTCCCCTCCCCACAACAGACACCCTGTGAAGTAGGTGGGGCTGAGAGAGCTCTGACAGAAACTGCTCTTTTTCAAGGACAGCTCTGTCAGAACTATGGCTTGCCCAAGGTCATCCAGCCAGGTGCAAGTGGAGGAGTGGGGAATCAAACCCGGTTCTCCCAGATTAGAGTCCGCGCACTTAACCACTAAGAAGAAGAAGAGATTGGATTTATACCCCACCCTTCACTACCCAAAGGAGTCTCAGAGCAGCTGACAAACTCCTTTCCCTTTCCCTCCCCACCACAGACACCCTGTGAGGTAGGCGGGGCTGAGAGAGCTCTGACAGAAACTGCTCTTTTTTCAAGAACAGCTCTTGTCAGAACTGTGGCTGGCCCAAGGTCATCCAGCGGCTGCAAGAGGAGGAGGAGTGGGGAATCAAACCCGGTTCTCCCAGATTAAGAGTCCGCACACTTAGGCACGACACTAAACTGGAAGAGAAACGGGAGGGGCAGGTGAGGCGCAGGGTTGCCAACCCTGGGCGGGGGATTCCGGGAGATCCGTGCGCGCCATTCTAAGGCGCGACTGTAACCCTCCCTCGTTAATCAGACCATACCCTTAATTTAAATTTGAGGGAGGGCGGGAGGATTATATATATTGTTTTCCATTACAGAAAAGTAAACAAAATATAAATTCTTTACACCATATTTTGGAGTTTCCATTATACATTTCTCCCTATCCATCTATCTATTTTTGCCATCTTTTTTTGAATGTATTTTCTTCTTTCCCTGCTAATATCATATTTATCTTATCCATTTCTTTTATTTCCAAGATTTTCATAGTTAATTCTTCTCTATTTTGGTATTCTGTCTTATTTCCACTATTTCGCTATAAGTATTCTGGACATCGTAAGTATATATAATATCAAACATGAATCACTGTAATTTATCCCATCTGGTAACATATTAAGTAAATATACTTCTGGTTCTAGCTTCAGGTCTATTTCAGTCATCTCTAGTATTACTTGTTTTATAGTATTCCAAAATTTGCAAATCCTCTCGCATCTCCACCATATGTGATAATATGACCCGATGTTTTTATTACATCTCCAACAATTCCCTGAGCTTATGGCGGCCTGTGCTACAGAAGGGAGAGGCGTGCATTGTGCAGGACTACTGTTGCCAACCTCCAGATGAAGCCAGGAGATCTCCTGGAATTACAGCTAACCTCCATGCAACAGTGAGATCCGTTCCCCTGGAGAAAATGGCTGCTCTGCAGGGTGGAATCTCAACTTCTGACCACTACCCCACACTGGCTCTGTTTTTCCTGAGCCATCTATTTACTCTTAACACAGAAGTGTTGTCATTTGTTACCAGGGCCAGATCTGACATAAATGTCACTTTGTTGGGCCGGGCCACGTGTGCCATCAAATGTAATGCCAGGTCTGGGAGATACAAGTTTTATAAAGGACACAGGCAAACCCAATGAACATTATTTGTTACTCAAAATACAAACATGCTTAAAACATTGACTCTCTTACAGTATTTCCTTAAAGTATCTCCCTGATGCCCACCCTTCCACTTCCACCACCCGTTGCTCATTGGCACAGTAAACAGGGGCAGAATGCCCAGTCTCAGTCATCTGGCAATAAAGGTGATGACCAGTTACTTGTGGGCCGAATGAGAGCCCTGGACAGGCCGCTTCTGGCCTACGGGCCGCATGTGTGACACCCCTGCGTTAGAGCTTCAAGACTAGGATCTGAGCAACCCAGATTTGGATCCCGCTCCTGCCATGGAAGCTCGCTGGGTGACCTTGGGCCAGTCACACACTCTCAGCCTAACCCATCGCACAGGGTGGTTGTGAGAGAACAAGGCAAGTCGCGTCAGGTCTCTGTTGGGGAGAAAGGTGGTGTGGTCGTGGTTCTCTTTCCCAAGCTCTACGCCCAAACCGAGGGCTGAAACCTCATGCGCACTTGGGTTTAAGAAAGCCCTACTGAGCTCAGTCAGATCCAGTTCTGCACACATGGGATTAATCTGTGAGGGGGCAACTTGGAGCACCCACACCCTCCTCATCGAGCTCCTCCCCCCCCGAAGCCAGCTAGAGAACGATGCCCCCACACCGCACTTTCTAAAACCAGTCCCACCCTTCCTTTTTTTTTTTTGCCATTAAGTCACAGCTGACTTACGGCAACCCTGGTGGGGTTTTCAAGGCAAGAGACGTTCAGAGGGGGGTTTTGCCATTGCCCGCCTCCGTGTCCCGGCCCTGGTATTGGATGGAGGTCTACTTCTGAATTAGACTTTACTTCCGCTTAGCTTCCAAGACATGGCAAGACTGGGCTATACAGGTCTGGTCTCGTCCCATCCTCTGCCGGCAAGGATTAAACAAAACTTGTTGTCAGCCAGGTGGCTAAAGGTTATACTCACAGGTCCACTTCCCTTTCTTTGACTTTCTTCCCCTTTTCCTTTTCTTCTTCTTTCTTTCTACCTCCATTTCCACCTTTTCCTCCTGCAACACAAAGGAAGGTGATTCTTCCGACATAGGTGAAACAAAATGCCTTGGTCTCCTTCAGCACAGGGTGGCTTAGAAGTCTCAGTGTGGACTTTAGCAGTTGAGGGAAGGACCCTTTTACAGCTTCTTTCTGGTGAAGAGCTGGGAGTCTACTTTACACAAGGATTTGGGGAAGGGCTGTAAATGGAGGAAAGTTAAATTTTAAAAGCAGCCGTTTGCTTGCCATTTAAAAAAATCAGTGGGAGGGGTGTGGTTTTAAAGAAACAGAATATATATATATTCAGGCTACAATCCTGCACTTAGTTGGGTGAATATTCAGACTTTACTTCTGAGTTATCATGTGTACAACAGTGTGTTTGTTGTTGTTGTTCAGTCGCACAGTCGAGTCTGACTCTTCACGACCCCATGGACCAGATCACGCCAGGCCTTCCGGTCTTCCGCCGTCCTCTGAACCAGCATCAGGGTCTTCTCCAGTGAGTGCTCCCTTCTCATTTGGTGGCCAAAGTATTTGAGCTTCAGTTTCATTATCTGGCCTTCCAGGGAACAGTCAGGGTTGATTTCTTTGAGGATTGACTGATTTGTTCTTCTTGCAGTCCAAGGGACTCTCAAGAGTCTTCTCCAGCACCATAGTTCAAAAGCATCTATTCTTCGGCGCTCGGCCTTCCTTATCGTCCAACTCTCGCAGCCATACATGACTACTGGGAATACCATTGCTTTGACCATGCGGACTTTTGTTGGCAGGGTGATGTCTCTACTTTTTATCATGCTGTTTAGGTTCGCCATCGCTTTCCTCCCAAGGAGCAGGCGTCTTTTAATTTCATGGCTGCTGTCACAGTCTGCGGTGATCTGGGATCCCAGGAACGTGAAGTCTGTCACTACTTCCACAACTTCCCCTTCTATTTGCCAAGGAGTGATGGGGCCGGATGCCACGATCTTAGTTTTTTTGATGTTGAGCTTCAAGCCCACTTTTGTGCTCTCCTCTTTTACCCAGAGCAAGAGGCTCTTAAGGTCCTCTTCACTTTCTGCCATTAGAGTGGTATCGTCTGCATATTTGAGGTTGTTGATCTTGTACCAACAAGTATAGAATATGTTGTTTCAGCGCTGTAATGTCTGTTTCAGTTTACCAGATTCTGGTACAGAAGGACTCAGGGATCACCATTCCTACTTGTATCTGACGAAGGGAGCTCTGGGACCTGAAAGCTCAGACCCCCAAACTCTTCCTGGTTTCCAGGGTTCTACTGGACTCAAATCTAGCTCTGTCCCTGAAAATCTTTCACTTGTACCCTAAAGGCCGCTGTCTTGGACACAAACACACACACACACACCGAGCCTTCCACTGAAAACAGGACTTCTCTCCTTCAGCTAAATGTGACCTTAAGCAAGTATGCCTGCAGTCATCATCCCACTTACTTGGAAGTAAATGCCACTGAAATCAGTAGGCCTTACTTCCAAGTAAACATATTAAGTATTGGAATGGTCCCGGGTCCCTCTTTACATTCCCGTCTGGTGAGCTTGCTTTACTGCCGGCCTGTGATCGTAAAAGCCACACCTGAAAGTGTTCCTGTGGAAGTGTGCCTTGCACACAAAAGCTTATAAGGTAAAGGTTTCCCTTGCTCAAAAGCCAGTCGAGTCCCACTCTAGGGTTGCGGTGCTCATCTCCGTTTCAACACCGAAGAGCCAGCGCTGTCCGAAGACATTTCCGTGGTCATGTGGCCGGCATGACTAAACACTAAGGCGCACGGAACGCTGTTACCTTCCCACCGAAGTGGTCCCTATTTATCTACTTGCAATTTCTTGCTTTCGAACTG